AAAAGCCTTCAAAATCGCCAGGTATGATGGTGAACACCTTTAGTTCTAGCACTCAGAAGCAGAGGCAGGCAGATCTCTGTTTGAGGGTAGCATGGTGCACATAGTGAGTTCCAAGCCAGCCTGGTATACAATGAGTCAGGCTGGCCGGGGCTACACAATGAGACCCTCTCTCAAAAAAAAGGAAAAGAACTGGGTCAAGTTATATTCTTCTTGGGCCCAAGATTTTAGACAAGAGTGTCAACTTTGTAGATTTTATCAAGCTATTATCTCCTTTGCAGTGCCAGGCAACATTGGAAGTTTACAGTGATACACATGATAGTTTAGCATCCCTTTACAAGTCTCAACGACACAATTCACAAAACTTTCCATAACTCTGTCAAATTATATCTGAATAACCATTAGGGAGGGCAGCAATAACATCTACCCATCAAGCTATTGTGAAGATCAGGTAAAGTTTAGTCAGATATTCCTATACAGGCTGTCAGTCAGCTTTGTGACAAAATGCCTAGGAAAAACAACAAAGGAATGAAGATTTATTTTGGTTCATGATTTCAGAAGTTTAGGTTTCTGCTCTCACTTGGTTCAGTGCTTCTGAACCCATGGTGAAGCCAGAGCAGAGGAAAGGTATTTACCTCAGGCAACCAGGAAGCAGAGGGAAAGGGTTCAAGACAAGGGCTATTCTCCGAGGGCATGCCTCCAGTTTCCTACATCCTCCAACTAAGCCCCACCCCCTAATTTCTACTACCTCCCAATAATTCCAGCAAAGTATGAACCCAGCAACAGATTATTCCATTGATTAAATCAGAACACCAATAACCAATCACCTCTAATGGTCCCACCTCTGAACACTTCTATATTGAAGTATAAGCCTTTTGAAAACCAACCTTTTAGAGACACTCCATACCCAAACCATAACAAGGACCTTATAAATACTGGGTGCTCAATTAACACTGGTGCTTTGAATTACAGATAAAAAACTGACAATGGAAAAAAATGAAGAAATGTAAACAAGTTCATAGCTTTAACTAGGCTACTATCCTTAATTATGTACTCTTTAACACACTTCTTACCAACATTAGTTCTACAAAGCATTTACCAATACTCAGTTTCTCCTAATGATACACTTCACGCAACTGGAATACATCAATTCCTTCACAGTATCTGAGTGCTTTCTATGTGAGACACTGCTCTAAACACTTGGAAATACTGCGTGGATACATTCCTGCTATCAGGAAGTTGACATTCTAGCATTAGGAGATACTAGACAACCAACAGACAAAAAAGTTCCAAGTAGTAACAAGGACCAACTGACATGGGAGGAGCTGAACCCTGAACAGCAATAAGGCATATATATGTACGTCAGACTTTGCCACTGCTAAACAACATACTCTGCCTTCTTTACAAAACAGTGGGAATGAGGCAGTTAACAGTACACTAACACTATGTTCAACAAAAGATAACGTCTTACAAAGTTTGGAGGGCAACAATCAAGATTCAATGGCAATGGGTTTTAAGCCCTCATAGAGTGTTGGATAAAAAAGTTAACTCAATGGGAGGAAAAAATAAACCACTGACATGCCTATTCACATGCCAAGATGAATGACACAAGCTACTATCATTCATTAGGGATGCTCCTGGTTAGCTTTCTAAGTAATGTCACTACTGGGTACAAATAGGAGGTCCTGTAACTATGAAAAATAATTTGGCATTACTTAGAAAAGCTAACAAGGAGCATCCCTAGTTAAGTGAGGACTCAGGACATGAAAGAATATATTCTGTAACTTAATTCATATTCCACTAACGTATGTTCATATAAAACTTGCAAAAATTAAACAAGTTGATTAAGAATATTCTCTGTAGCCGGGCATGGTGGCGCACACCTTTAATCCCAGCACTCGGGAGGCAGAGGCAGGCGGATCTCTGAGTTCAAGGACAGCCTGGTCTACATAGTGAGTTCCAGGACAGCTGGGACTACAGGGAGACCCTGTTTCAAAAAGACCAAAAAAAAAGAATATTCTCTGTGATATTTAAGAATATCTTCTATGTAATGAAATTACAACAAAGTTTTCAATAGTGATTCAATAGTGGTGGGGAGAAGAGATTAAGGAATTTAAGAAAGAATAAAAAAACACAAATATAGACTGTACTTTAACTGACTTTTCAAGAGGGAAAAGGGGGCTAAAAAAATGGAACATAGGAAGGTGAAAGAGGGACAGAGCTAAAATTTTTTAAATGGGGGCATGTCACATCCTGTTTATGTTCATATGCTATGGGAAATGAAATAATACAGAGAACTGACAAAAGAATATCAAACACTGGAAAGAAAAACCAGAGCAGAACACAGTGGTGCACGTAAGTAATCTCAACACTCAGGAGGCTGAGGCAGGAGGATCATGAATTAAAGGCTAGCCTTGACTACACAGTGAGTTCAAGGTCAACCTGGGGTACGTGAGACCCTATTTCAAAATAATATGGGAAAGGAAAAAGAATTGGTCTTAGCCGGTATTAACATGCCAAAAGCAAATGTAATCAATCATTAGGCTAAATACAGTATGAAATTACTATCTAGGTTCAAGCCAGCCTATGCATGGCTAAGAGTAGTCATGGTGGTAGGAGTGGGGGTCTGTCTATATTGCTCATCCATAGAGCCAGCATCTATCTACCAGAATTGGATGTCACATAAGATAGCCCATACATGGGCTGGAGAGATGGCTCAGTGGTTAAGAACAATGACTGTTCTTGCAGAAGACCCAGGCTTGAATCCCAGCATCCACATGGCAGCGAACTGTGTTCCAGGGGATCCGACAGCCTCTTCTGTCCTCCGCAGGCATTGCACGACACAGGTGCATTCATCTACATGCAGGCAATACACGCATACACATAAAATAATAAATATTTTTTTAAAAAAAGATAAGCTATCCATAAATTATTAACAGAATCAAGAGCAGAATACATCTGAAGTATACAGATTCAAAATAGACTAAATATTAAAACATAATAGCTTTATTAAGTTACATTTATTACTTCATATGTGACAGGCAGGGAAAGAGGAATGTTCATGAACCTAAGAGAGACAATATGCAGGATGTAGTCAGGGCACGGATAACTAGCCATGGGTGACTAAAACATATAGTTCGTACAAATCCTGGAAAGATCGGAAAACAAAACTGAACATAAAACCAGGAACACAAGAAGCAAAAATAGTACCTTGGTGGGCCTTGAGTTCACTGAAAAAGTCACTGAAAACATCTAATGAAGGGAGCTAAGATCTGAACTTTTACAGTAAATGAATGTCTCAGTGAAAGTATGAGGAAGTATGAGGAAGACCAAAAAGCTAAGGGAAAAAAATTGCTAAAATTGGTGATGGAACTATGAGCCAGTGAGAAGGCTCAGTGGGTAAAGGCACCTGCCATCAAGCCTGACAACCTAAGTACCCTTTTTATGACTCATTTAGGGTCACTGATAAGTTTCTAATTCTTAATCTGACTTCCCTGGTAGCCTGATACTAAAAAGAGGTCCCTTTGACAGTAGACATGAGTACTTGCACCACTGAACACAGTATCTTTGACAGTAAATTAGTAACATCTACTTTTTTAAACCAATATCCCGTGAAGAACACTAACCAGTTTCATATTAATCAATTACAAGATCATAAAAGAAAATAGCAATTTATGAATCCAGACATTGAGAAGTGTCTCTCTACTTTGCTAGGCCCATTCCTTCTTGTCAAACTAAGGTGATCTTCGCCTCCACCTGCAGCAACATGCTCTCTTAAGGCACCCATGACAGTTACTGGTGGGCTTTTACCACTGTCCATGTTAGATAGTGCTCACCAATTAGAAGACTGCCCTGAAATGTTTATTTTGTTTTATTTGAGATAGTCTTGCCACAGAGCCCAGGCTGACTTTCAACTCCCCATCCTCCTGCCTCAGCCTACCAAGTGCTAGGATTAAAAATGTGTGTGCCACCATACCCAGCACAGATCCTAAAATAAATCATATCTATCAAGCAAATTTATACCACCTACCTTTCCCAGCTCTAGAAACTAAGAGTGGCTTTGTAACACACAAGTTAAGAAGGTAGGTTCTTAAGAACCTTGGGCCCTTAAACATCAGGCTACACTTTTGCTTTTTTGTTTTAAAACATGGTCTTCAAGTAGCCCCAAGTAGCCTGGAGCTCTATGTAGACTAATCTGGCCTTGATCTCTGAAATCCACCTGCCTCCACCTCCCAAATGCTGGGATTAAAGGCATGCACCACCATGCCAGATCTAGGCTGCATTTTTTTTAATGCAAACATTTGTGTCAATTCACTAAACTCAACTATATCCTGGGATGAAATTATCATTAAGTTTCACTTAAGCACAGCTTGCTTAATCACAATCGTAATTTTCACATGAATTTAAAAATACCTACTACACTTCTCTAAAGTTTTTTCCTAATGGAAAATAACTTAAGAAACTGATTTGAGAGAAAAATATGCTTCTGAAAAAAGAAAGCAGAAAGAATGCTTTATAGAAGCTGACATCATTCTAGATCTGCCTCTTTTCGGTTCTGTCCATTTCCTTTCCCCGAGTTTCCACAGATGCCCTAGATCACGAACCGTAACCAAAAACATGTTCTACGGCACTTTGCTACTCGGACTGCACACTACATTGGAGTTTATTCCAAAGTGCGCTCTCAAGTGCTGAACTACAGCTCAAAAGTGTAGCTACAAAGTAAAACTCGAAGATGTACACGTCCAAAGCCCAGGCGGGAAGCAAAGGCAGGTTCTTCACTCTCCCCTTCCCAGAGCCCTAAACGGGCAGCTAAGTCCTTCTCCACGCAGCTGCCAACCGCTCGGCCCTCAGCCCTTTCCCTGACCATCTCAAAACAAGAGCACAGTACGTGCCACCCGCGTCTGCCATCGGAACACAGCGCTCAGCGGCGCCTGGAGCGCGACGCACAGGGACGGTCCCAGCGAGGGAACCTCGCGAGCGCCCACGCGGCCCGGCGCACTCACCAGCCCGTCGATCTGCACCTGCTTCACGGCCGAGTCCCCGGGGCCGCCTTTGCCCTTGCCTTTGCCCACAGCGCCGCTGGCGGGGCCAGAGGAGGTGGCGGCGGAGCCGGTGCCTTCCTTGCGGGACGCCATGTTTCCAGCCAGACCGGAAGAAAGAGAAGCGTGAGGCGCCGGAAGCGGAAACAGGAAGCTTTCCTGACGCCCCTGGCAAGGCTGTGACGGAGGGGCGGAGACTAGGAGAGAGACACCAGGGCGGGAGGGACTCTGCCGCCCTGATTTTTTCCAGTCCTGCCACTGAGCTCAGTAGCATCCCGTGAGGCGGGCGGGTATCATTTGCGCCTGCGCAGTATGCATTTTTGGATCCAGCCCACATTCATTGAATACTTAGAACCCAAGTAAGTTTTGTTTTTTGTTTTTTTTTTGGGGGGGGGGTGATTTGTCTTATCTTGTTTTATTTTTTGTTTTCTTTTCTTTTTTGCGATAGGATCTCCCTGTAGCTCCAGCTGGCCTAGGCATCGCTATGTAGACCAGGCTAGCTCGCCACCAATCCACAGAGATCTACCTGCCTCTGCCTCACGACTACTGGAATTAAAGGTGTGCATCACAACACCCGACTCCAGGTCGATTTTTAAAATGTGGACTTATTCTCCCTTAGGCAAATGGCCGTAATATAGCTCCCCTTTCTCTAGTGTCTCCAATGTAAATTGCTTTCACTTCTAAATTTAATCCCCACTCTTCTTGCACACTGTCGAGGGTTGAAGACTCGTTATACACGCAAGGAGACTGAGACTTAGTTTCTCAACGTCACACTGCTAATGACAGGCTGGTGTTACGTTGCTTGTCTTACTCGAGTTTAGACCGCAGTCTCTAACCAATCTGAGTATACAGAAATTGCTTAAAATATGGAATGGTCAGAGTCTCCAAGCGTTTAGTGGTTTAGTAGTTTCGGCGAAGGTTTACTTCTATAAAGTACCTATGAAATTATTTTATGTAGTGCTGTAATGTTGAAGTTTATGCAGTTACGTATGTAGAATACATTCCCTACAAATCATGCTGACCTGTAACACGGAGCTATGAAATATGTATCTCAAGTATGCAAACAATGTGTTGGTTGTAGAAAACCGTTTTAAATATGTATATTAAAGCACTCTCTTGGCTGGGCATGGTGGCGCACGCCAGGATGGTGGCGGGCCAGGATGGTCTACAAAGTGAGTTTCAGTCCAGTCAGGCCTACACAGTAAGCCCCTGTCTCAAAAATAAAAAATAAAAAAGCCCGTCGTGGTGGTGCACACCTTTAATGGCAGCATTCGGGAGGCAGGGGCAGGCAGATCTCTATAAAATCCAGGCCAGCCTGGTCTATAATAATGAGTTCAATTAAATGATTACACCATGGCAGGCCATATTCTGCCCTAAAGTTTTTATTTTTGGTGGTGTTACTGTTGTTGGGGTATGATGTTATACCTCAGTCTCAAAGTAGAAATTGTCACACCTGGAAAGTTACTAATGACTCAAAGTCTACTTTCTCAGGTATATAAGAATTAATAGGCTGGGTGTGGTGGCACACGCCTTTAATCCCAGCACTTGGGCGGCAGAGGCAGGAGGATCTCTTTGAGTTCAAGGCCAGGCTGGTCTACATAGTGAGTTCCAGGCCAGCTGGGGCTAGAGGGAGACTGTCTCAAAAAGACCAAAAAAGAAGAAGAATTAACAAAATAGACCACATGCTGGTCACAGATAAAGTCTCCGTAAAGGTAGAAGTAATAAAGATGGATCATAGTAGAATTATACTAGAAAGGAGTAGTAGGAAGGTTAAAAGAAAAATGAAAACCTCTTACAAGGAATCAAACTGGCCCAGCACTCTGGAGGCAGAGGCAGGTGGCTCCCTATGCTCTCTCTGAGATCAGCCTGGTCTACATAGAATTTCAGGCCAGCTAGGGCTACAAAGTAAGACCTTATCTTAAAAAAAAATAATCTGGGGCTGGAGAAATGGCTCAGCAGTTAAGAGCACTTGCAGAGGACCCAGGTTCGATTCCCAGCACCTACATGGAGGCTAACATCTGTCCATAACTCCAGTTCCAGGGGATCTAACACTTTCTGACCTCCTCATGCATTGCACAACACAGTCGCACATAGGTGCAGGCAACACAGTCACATAAATTTAAATAAATAAAAATAAAAACAAATTGGAACAGGATATTTATAAAGAAAAATAAATTCATTAACTGGTTAATCTTACAACATATATAAGAGTTCTATTTTAAAATTACAATATCGGGCCGGGCATGGTGGCCCTCGCCTTTAATCCCAGCACTCAGAAGGCAGAGGCAGGAAGATCTCTGTGAGTTCAAGGCCAGCCTGGTCTACATAGTGAATTACAGGACAGCTGAGGCTACAGGGAGACCCTGTCTCAAAAAGACCAAAAAAAAAGAAAAATTACAATATCAACATTTCCATTATTGATAAAACAAGTAAGCAAATTTCAAAAGGTCTTTTTCTGTCCTTAAAAATGTACCACTAGGGCTTTGCAGTCATACCTGCCAAATACATTATTACAATGAATTCTTTTCAGGTGTCCCTAGACAGTTCATGAGCTCCTTGTATAACATATCCTAGACTGAAGAGGTACAAGAGGGAGCAACTATGAAATAGAACCTGAAATGTGAATTAGGAAATCAGCATGATCACCTAAGCTAGAAAAAAAGAGCCTAGAAGCAAGGCTCCTTCATTTGCATTGCTGATTTTCTTTCTGCATCACCCGCCTCTTCTCAGTTGTCTTTGCTGATTTCTCTGCCCCTTTCATCTTTAAATATTGAAAAACCCAAGAGTCCAGGTTCAAAATCAACTTTCCCTTATTTTTATTCCTTATCATGGTGACATTATCTATTTTCAATGATCTTAAACATCACATTTGTGCTGATGGCTCTCAAATTTTTATTCCTTATATAAGTAACTCTCCACTGTTCCACATCAGAGTGTCTGTTTGCCTATTCCTCACCGCCATGTCAGTGTCCAATAAGCACCTCCCAAAAGGACCCACAAATACCACTGCCCACAAAAGTCTTCCTACGCTTCTCCATATGATTTGATGACAGCTCTATTCTTTGCTAATAGGACCAAAACCTTTGGTGTCACTTCAGCTCTTTGATTATCTTATGCCTCAGCCCTGTTCCATCAGAAAATCTTAGAGGTTCCATCTTAAACATGTATTCAGTATCTGGATTTTGGCTTCTGGGAAGATAAACACATTGTAATTCCTCCCATTAAGTTCAACTAAACCCAAGAACATTATACACCAAAGAAACAGAGGACTGAAAGGTGGGGAAAAGGAGGACTGGCTCTGTCCTTCCACCCAAAGAGCAACATCATGATTGTTTCTCAGGTTTTCAGTTTCCTATACATATCTCAGACTTGGAACCTAAGTCCAGTGAACTAGAAACAGGTAGATAGAAAGATAGATAGTGTTAGGGTTCCAATAGCAGCCTCCTCCCCCTCCCCAACAGGGACCTACAAACTCTGCTGAGAAGCACTGCCTTTCCTCTGACCTCCAAAGATAAGCAGAGTTCCTCTTATCTTAAGAGGAAAAGAAGACACTTCCACACCCTAATCCTACCTGCTTCCCCCTCCCTGATTCCACACCCTAAAGCCCCCATATGTAAAGTCCCAGCTCACAACCCGTGGACATTCTTTCCTGGACATCTTTCCCTGACTCCCTTCCCTTCCCCCTTCCCCCTTCCCCCTTCTCCCTTCCCTTCCCTTCCCTTCCATCTTTCCCTTCGTGGACATCTTTCCCTTCCCGAGGGAAAGGTGCCCCGTGCGAAATAAATCTATGTCCCACTGAGAATTCCATCTGAGCCTCCGTGCCTCATCCATCCGCTCGTGCCTCCTCCATCTGCGCCACTCGCTCCCGCCCATTCTCTACCTATCACAAACTATTTTACATAAATTTGAAATCAGACATTAATCTTA